CCTATAAAATAATTTAAAGAATCATCTTAATAAATATACAATTTTATAAACTAAAATTTAATTACTTATAAATCTTACATTATCTATAAATGATAATTTTTTAAATCGAGGATCAAAAAAAAATCCATATAAGCCAAGATCTAAAGGTATATTCTAATGCTTTTTTATATTTTCTAAGATAATATTTTTTACCTCATTAATAATAAGACTTTCAGTTTCATGAACACTTAAATGATGTTTAAGTTCCTTAATTGCCAGAACAATTACACCTAATATTGAATATTTCAAACCTTCAAGTATTTCAGTTACTTCATCAAATGGTCTTAAAATTATAATAAGTTCATTGCACATTTCAAATTCTTCATCTGAACGAAGATGCAATAATAAATTTACCATCCTTACGGACATCACTCATAGTATGATTTAAAAGGGTATTGCAAAGATATTTAATTGAAGGTTGTAATAATATTAATCGTTGAAGAGCATAAAATATTGAATTTCATTTTGTCTCTACATCTTTTATAATATCTAGTGATTCTCTAATATTTGGGTTAAGTTGTCTTTGAATTTCTCTTAATTGTCACCATTTTTTATTACCACTTAAAATAGTAATTAATTTTTTTGCTTTTTTTATTATATTATCTATGTGTTTAAGACCAAGATTAACAGAAAGTTGCAATGTATGAGTGTAGCAAGAAACATTACTAATATTTAGCTGTGAAATTGCTGTCTTAACATTGCTTTCATTATCTGTAGTAATTCCAACTATATTATTTTTGTTTATATTAAGTTTTGCTAATTGTGATTTAAGCTTTGATATAATTTTAGCTGCCATATAAGATTCAGGAAAATCTGTCATATCTACTGTAACTTCATACAATTTGAAATCAGGTGTAAACCAGTGACAAGTAATTCCTAAATAAGCATCATGTGTTTGAGATGACCAAATATCTAATATTAATACTACATTATTAGCTGTTTTATTAATTTTATTTTCAATAAGGTGATTTGATTGATTATATGCATCAAAGATTATTGTTTTTATAGTTTTAACACAAGAAACTTTAAATTTAGGATCAAGTATATTGCAAAATCTTACAAACTCATCTTCTTCAGTAAGCGAAAGAGGCAATGAACACATAGTAATCATTTGTGTAAGCTGTTGAGATAAGTATGTTTATTGTATTTTATTATATGGTTCAGGTAAATTATTTTGTTTAGATGTTTCAATAATTTCTTCTGCCGTTTGAGAGTTTAAACTAGATTTAGTAATATGATGTGTATTTCGTAAATGTCCCAACATATTGCTTGTTGAGCCACACCATATATAATCAGTTTTGCATCCACTAAAAAGACATTTTACACATTTAGTTGAAGGTTCTTCATTAGTTGAGTAGAATTCAAAAAATTGTTATGTAAAACTAGATGTGTCATTTTTAGACTGATTTAATGATTCATTTAATATATTTGCCATAGTAAATTTATTTCAGAAAACACAGTAAACATTTAATTTTAAACCACTGCCTATTTATTAAAAATACAGTCAGACTCCTAAATGCACATTGATAAAAGTTTGGATACTATAGTATGTATTTAGAAAACAATAAGAAAAAATGCATTTATAAAGAACAAGCATATATTTGAACCAGAATTTGAGAGATCATGCAGTTAGAGAAGATGCATTTGGTGTATTTTTTCTGTAATAATCAGTTATTTTTGTTTATAAAAAAAACTTCTATTTTTTTTTATTAGTATAAAATTAGAAATATGATTGTAATGCAAAACAGACATATTACTATATTAAAGAAAATAAATAAATAAAAAATATTAATGGCATCCTGTTAATTATTAATAATGAGTACATTATTTATAGCATCAATAAGTATTTCTTAATATGTTTCACAAAAAA